ATTAGTTATTAGTTAATCGTGTTTAGTAAGTTAATCACAGTCAACAACATCATCAAGAAATTTAATTAGGCATAAATTTATGGAAATATCATATGACCTATAGAAATTTACACTTAAAAAATTTAATTTTTTAACTTTGATCAAGATTTAGGTAACAGATAGTAATTTTCTACTAAGATATTTTTAAGATAGATCGAAAGTCCTGATATTTAACTACAAGATAATATATATTTTATTACTATAATATCAATATTTGTGAAGAAATTTACATTTAAATTCAAATGTTTGTAAAAATTTATGTCATAATTTTTTCATAAATTTTCATAATTCTGTCAGAAATTTTTTATTACATCACAAAAATTTCTGGCAGAATTACAAAAATTTACAGAAAAATTAAGTTATAAATTTTCATGGATGTTTGAATTTAAATGTAAATTTTTTTGCGAATATCGATGCTATAGTAATGAAACATATATTACTTTATAGTCAAAAACCAGGACTTTTGATCTACCTTAGAACTATCTTAGTAGAAAATCACTTCCTGTCATCTAAATCTTGGCCAAAGTTAAAAAAAAATTTTAAATGTAAATTTTCATAGGTCATGTGATATTTCTGTAAATTTATGTCTAATTAAATTTCTTGATGATCATTTTATAACAATTTATAAGTTCTTTACTATTTAAAAATGAAAAAATCTCACTTTCTGATATAAAATTGACTATTATTATTTTTATCTATATTTGGTAAGGAAACTATATTGAAGTTTCCTATTATAATTAATTTGTAGTTTTTTGATTGTACTTATATAATTTAACTTTTGATTTTATCTACTATATCTATATTTTCAGATTTTTTACTTGATAAGTATATTTGTATAATCTGTATTATAGTTTTCTTTGTTAATGTCATATCCATATATATTGCTCTTCTTTTAAATTTTTGAATATTCTATATATATTTATTTATATCTTTTGAAATTATTATTGCTACTCCAATACCTATTCCATTGGAAGACCAATATATTTTATATTTTTTTCTTTTATCTACAAACTATTTTTCATTATTTTCTTTACAATTTGTTTCTATAATACCTGTGATATCTATCTTACTATTTTTAATATAATTATATAAAAGTTTGTATTTAATGTAGTCATCAAAACCTCTTATATTATGTATAACTATACTTATTGTTTTATTATCTATATTATTGTTCTAATTATTAATAATATTATTATTATTATTTCTTTTTAATTTATTATACAGATTATTTGTTCTTTTATTTTGATTATTACTATTTTTATTATTATTAATAATACTATTATTATTTGATTCCATTATAATAATTTATTAAAAAGGATGAAATTAAAAAATGTTATTAGTTATATAACTAATATTACTTTCAAAAATTTTTGATCTGGAAAGAAGCAATGTCAATCTTACTCTGTTTCTATTATTTCAATTCTACTTGTTTTTTGTTGTATTGTAAGAATAATCATATTTAACTTGTTATTCATTTCGTGTTTTTGACTTGACTTTAATTTGTCATTACCATTATTATTATCTCCAATGTTATTTCTATCTAACATATTTTCATATTTCTTCTGTTTTGAAGTCCAATTCTAAATTTGTTCCTCTGTTATATTCATTACATAATTTTCTAAAATTTTTAAATACTCACAAAACTCATTTAAAACTTGTTTAATTCTTTTTAATATTTGATTATTTGTAACATTTGAGTTCTCTTTTCTTGTATTTTTTTTGATTACATCTGTGTATATTTGTTTCTTAGCAAACTTATTAATATTTTTAAAATACCTTGAATAATATTGTTTATATATTGTACCAAACTTTTCAATTCTTTCTACTATTTTATTTTTGTATTTATAGTTTTGAACTTTATAAAAACAGTTAGTAACAAAATAGTTTATTTCATAACAACAATGGCATGTCTTTGTTTGAATATTTACAATTCTAATATTGAAATCTCAAACTACTTTACAAGCATCCTCACAAATTTTTTTTCCTAGAAAGAAATAATAAATTTATATTTCTTTTTGTAATTTCTTATTCTTGGAAAGTAACAGGTTTTTGCTTTCAACTTTTCAACGTGTAGCCATAATTCCCTTGCTGTAATATTATTAGATAATCCAATTACCCTTGCTACATATTTACCATATAACTTAGATTATCAATTGTTTGATCTAATTGTGTTACTCTAAGAGAATCTTTTCAATAATAATATTTCAGTCAGTTAGTAACTGTGCACTACTTTTTTCTTTAAAGACAATGACAGCTAACTTGCACATGTTATTATTTTCAAAGAAATTCTTGTGATTTTATCAAATTTCATTTCTAACTCTTATTAAATATCTTTGCTTCTAAATCCTATAGGTACGTCTTACAACTTAATATTGTATTACATTTCTTTATCTGGATTTTGTTTGAAAATTTCAGTCCTATACATGTAAGTTGGCTTATGTGTATGTTCACCTATATCACATTTTTTTATTTTTTCCATTTCTTCTTCATTGTCATAATAGACTGCAATTATTTTATTGTTGTTAAATATTTTTGTTTGTACTTTGATTACTACAGACTGTTGTTTCAGAGTCAACCTGACATTTTTCAATTTTTCATTTAAATTTTTTTTCAAAATTTTTTCTGTTAAAATTCAAATTTTATATTTTTTTACATCTAGAGAACTGCACTAACCAGTTTGATAATTATTCTCAGTCTCAAAAGAAACAATTGATTATATTTTTTCTTGTTTATTTATATTTTTTCATTAATCAATTCTTTCTCTTTACCTTTTCCTTTACTTTTATTCTTTTTACTTTTGTCTAGTCAGTTGTATCATTGTTTTCTTGATTTTTATTTAATTCTTTATTTTCTTTGTTTTCTTCTACATCTGTCATTTCTTCAATAGTTTAATTATTATTCACATCTTTGTTGTTATCTTTTAATAAAATTGTAATTTGAAAAACTGGTTTACTTTTCAATGTTTCTTCATTTTGTTTTATGTTCATGGTAGTATTTTTCCTGTCATCTTTTTTATTTAAAAACTTTGCTTTCTTGCCAATAAGATTAAATTTAATTTGTTTTTATAAGATAAAGAAATAATGTTAAAAGTCCTGATATAGTTTACACCAGTTCTCCTGGATCTCTCAAATGGTTTATTACCCATTTCAAGTATAACACAGTTGATTATTATTCAAGCTAAAATAAAATAAAATCTTTTTCATTTAAATTTTGCTATGAATTTTGCTTGAAAATTGATAAAGAGAAAGAGTTTTTTTTCCAGTTATATAATTATTAATTCATAATATTAATTATTGTCACATATCATTATTTAACAATAATTATTAATATCTATTATCAATTAGTATTAGATATATTTAGTAAAATAATATAAAGAAATAGTAATCAATAGAAGTAGTGCACAGTAAGGTACAGTAGTGGCACAGTAATAAAGATCATTGAATTTAAATATAAAAAGAAGATTGAATTTACCTTGTTCCTTTCTAGTTTACAATTTTGTAAATTTGAATTTTGATAATTTATAATTTATTTGAAATTGATAAATTTAATTTTATAATTTGTAACTTCAAGATAAACACTTGTAAAATTACTCTGCAATTGAATTAATAAAATAATAAATATTGAAAATATTAAATAAAAGTTATATTACATATAAAAACATATAGTTAATAAAGGAATAATGGATATTATAGATTAAATACTTGGTTGTATAATATTAGTATTCTTGAATTAATGAAATTAATTACAAACTATTATGATAAATCCTGGAATTGAAATAATACTTAACCTGGATGAACAAAAGTAATACTCAACTATGATAATACTGAAAAACAGTTAATGAATAAATCTTAATAATAAAAGTAATGATGAATTGAAAAGATATTGGAATAAATTGGATGAAAGGTCTGATTCCCTTTTTAAAATAATTAAATCAGTGGTGCCTTTTAAAACAATGGAACAACAGTCTTACTTTTGGGAAAGGACTATAAACTCCTTAAAAGAACCATTAAGTCACAATACTGGTTTGTTCCCAAGGAAACCAGGAATCACTGGTGACAATATACAATTATATAAAAAGGGAACATGAATATATAGACAAAGATCAATAAATTATTAACTCTCAAATATTTGGAATGGCATAATAAATTTACTGGATTATCAAGTATTCATTCAAAGTTATATAAAAGATACAAGAAAGAACTGGTCTTGATTCCTGGATAAAGTCTGAAATTTCCAAATCCCCACAAATTGAAAAGAGTGCTGAGAAAGAAACTTTATTTGTACCATGGGTGAGTGTTCAATCTATACCATCTAAATGACAATTCCCAATTTCTGTTCTACATAAAGACCCAGAAAAAAAAACAACAACACATTATTGAAATGTTATTAGAGCAATTCCCTTATTTAACTCTAAAACATAGCTTTAAAAAATATTACTTTGAATTTAATAGATAAGTATCCTGCCCTTTATGCAATAAAAACCATAAAAAAGAAAATATAAGAAATTATATAGAGGGTATTTGGGGAAATGGTGAATATTGTGGCAAAGAAACTATTGCTATACAAATAAATATCAGAATTCGATCCAAATAGTATCTATAAAGGCATAGGCATAAATCATTTCCCGCGATCACATGGGTTGCTCCCTTGGGGCTCTATCACATGCATAATTCACGATTTATACTCAATTGTTAGTATTTATAGCTCAACATTCGGGTGAACTTTATTAATATATTTTTTGCGATACATTTTACAATACTGTATATAAAAAAAGTGCCAATTCTGAGAACGCGACATTATGGCTCGATCTCGAAATTCTGAACTTAGAAAAAATTTGACAAAGTTGATACTGAAAATGCTTCATTTTTTAAAGATTTCGAATATAATAAATACAAATGAAAACAATAATCAATAAGTACAGACATTAAAATAATGATATTGTAAAAAGTTTACAATTTAAATCATTTGCATGCTTCTAACCATGCCTTGCCTAGGAGATACAATGAATTGGCAAGATGAGTATTGTTATTCAGGATTTTATCGCAAGCCTCACGCGCAACGGAAGATATTTCTGATCGTGAAAGTCGCCAAACTAATCGACAAACCTGAGATTTTTTAAACGCATATTAATCATACTACTTGTATAATAGATTTTTGTTCCATTAAATAAGCTTTTACCTCCTCCTGATTCATTCCTGGAGGTCCGCCTTTAATTTTGACGGTTACATTACTGAAAATCAAGTACACCATAAATTCAAGACCATTAAAAAGGTTGGAAAATTTCTCTAATCGGGATGTCATAGAATAATTGCTTATATGAGCTTCGGCTTTGGAGACGTAAATTTTTCCTAAAAGGGTCAAAAGCTCTTTGCCATTAGGTTCTGCGACAAATTTTTGAGCTTCTTGATGAAGGCTTTTTATAAATAATTCAAATTCTGAAGAATTATCTTGTCTCGGAAATTGAGAAAGTTTGTTCTGTAGATGATCAGCAATATTAGATACACGAATAATGTGACGACGTTCTTTTTGCTCAGCTGAAGTTAAATTTTCTAGCTCAGGTGAGTTCATATTTTCCATAAATGAGAATAAAAAAAGGCCAATTTCAAGGTTGCCAATATAAGGTTGCAAAGGGTCTCTTCCTACATAATGATTTAATGAAGCTTTACCTCCCAGGGCTGAAAAATTAAAATTAAACGAGTCAAAAAAAGAAACAACCAAAAAGCAAATACAATGGAAAATCTTAAAGCCTACAGTCATTTATAGTCCCGTAGTTGTCGTAAAGAGAACGTTTGTCATTGTCTGAGAGAACTTCATATGCCTTCGAAATTTCGTTCCACTATTAAAAATATTTAATGTGAATAGGAGTAAAAAAAAAGGAAAAAAAATCTGATGCAGTACCTCTTCAGTTTCAATACCACCATTTTTATCCGGATGGTACTTTAAAGCAAGTTTCCTGTAGCTTGATTTAATTTCAGCCTCAGTTGCACTTGGTTTTAACTGGAGAGCATCATACAAGTCTGTTACCTTTGGTTTATTAACGACTATCACATTTTGAACGTTTAATAAATAAATGCATAGGTATTAAGAAATATTTTTTGGTTTTAGGTTATATACCATGAGAACGCTCAGATTTTTTTGTTTCCTCAGGTTCGTCCAACCACTTCCTTAGTAACGATTTTTGGAGTTTATTATATTCGTCATTATCGATTTTACCATCATCTAATTGACGTTTGAATTCTTTAAGTTTTGCACTAGGATCCATTTTTAATAAAGTTGGGATTTTAAATACACCATACGAAAATAAATAATCGTTCTGGAATCATGTCAACTTCGTACTTACCTGTGTGCAACAAATATACGGAATTGATCAATAATTTTACGGTGAATAACATGATTTCTGGATGAATTACGTAAATGGCGTTTGTTATGTAGACACACCAATGTGCATATCTAATATTTCCGGATGGAAATTATAACTTCTCCGTTATGAATATTAAAAAGTAAACTCTTTTGACCTATTTCTATTCCCATATTTATTATAAAAGACGGAATTTCGAACCGACAAAACTCGACATATTCATTTTTTAACTTAATAGCAATGCCCACTGTTAAAGAAAAATTACGTGCCTTGAAAGGGCTCTTTGAAGATAATGATATTACGTATGATGTGTATAAGGATATGTGTAAGGAAATATGTGTAGAATATGTCGATTGTAAGTCAAAAAAGTTTTATCATTCCATAACTTCTCTGTATCTGAAAACACGCTCTTATCTTGAATGACTATGATAATTTACAACGTCTAGTTGGGATTTTAAATACACCATACGAAAATAAATCATCGTTCTGGAATCATGTCAACTCGTCCGATAACGTACTCACCTGTGTGCAACAAATATACGGAATTGATCAATAATTTTACGGTGAATAACATGATTTCTGTATGAATTACGTAAATGGCGTTTGTTATGAGACACGCCAATGTGCATATCGGATGGAAATTATAACTTCTCCGTTATGAATATTAAAAAGTAAACTCTTTTGACCTATTTCTATTCCATATTTATTATAAAAGACGGAATTTCGAACCGACAAAACTCGACATATTCATTTTTTAACTTAATAGCAATGCCCACTGTTAAAGAAAAATTACGTGCCTTGAAAGGGCTCTTTGAAGATAATGATATTACGTATGATGTGTATAAGGATATGTGTAAGGAAATATGTGTAGAATATGTCGATTGTAAGTCAAAAAAGTTTTATCATTCCATAACTTCTCTGTATCTGAAAACACGCTCTTATCTTGAATGACTATGATAATTTACAACGTTTAGCGTCAGAATTTATCCCTATAAAACCACAACGGAGAAACTTTTGGCAAAGATTATGGAATCTGGTGTCTGACGCGGGAAAGTTCACCTTACAAAGTTTGCTTTCACCGATAATTTCTGCTATCAGTGGAAAATTGATTACTGGTTGATCTAACGACAAATCGTAACCTAACCACTGCAACCTTTGGATGCCGTATAAATTAGATATAAATTTTTTTTCCTACAAAATTTTATATTGCATTACATATATTCATAATTAGTACAATTTACACGTCCTGTGTATAAACTTTAGTATTTATTATTATCATTATTACCATTCGTCTTTAATGAATTCGTTATGATAAACAACCCTCACTTGTAATGTTTGATTTTTATTACAATCAATAAAGCAAAGCATGTTAATGCGATTTTTACAAATATTTTTGTGTGGTTAATCTTTTGAACATATCCATATCTCGTATAAAACAATGGAAGACGCCCAATCCACAATTGATTCGTTGAGAGAATTGAATGCCAAACTTGTATCTGATATTGCTGAACTTAGAAAGGAGAATGCCGAGATTCCTGAACTTAGAAAGAAATTTGCCAAAGTCGAGGCCGAGAATATAAAATTAAAACAAGATAAGGAAGAGATTGAGATCAGAATTTAGAACAGACCGCAAAAAAAAGAAATGCCGAGAATGCAAAGTTGAGAGATGGTGAGCTCAATGCCAGAATCGTGGAACTAGAACAGTCAGCAAAAGAAAGTGAAAATCGATTTGCGAAATTGGAGCAGAAGCGAAACAATCCCGTAGATAGATTAGAGAATGGGGATAATTCTGAGAATATTGTTAATATACCCGACCCCGTTATAGACCATTGCATTGATTCTAACTCCAAATTGTTAGTGGATGATACCAGGGAAATTGATCAATCTTCGGTTAATACCACCTCTATCAAAATGGAAAATTCTAACAACACTCCGACATCTAATATATCTGAAAATACTTCAAATTCTGATGATGTATCTAACTTTGATATATGCCAGGAATCAGAAAACCAATATCCCACATCTCCTATTCCCATAGAGCCTAAATCATCGGAAGACATGGAAATTGATGATTCTCTAGCCCTATTGTCACGTCTGGACAGCACACAACAGTATTACACAACAAATCAAGTTCCCAGTCACAATAATAGTTTACACTTCTTTGTGTATCGCTATACAGTGTGACAACTTAAATAACAACTACAAAATCATGAGTATTATCTGGGAGGTACGTGAGCAAGTGAAGTAGAGGTAGTTTTCCCTATGTATACTATTGATGCTAGAACAGATTTATAAGAGATGAAACATTTATTTATAAATAGACAACCAAAAGAAAGTTTTATTAGAAGTTAGGCAACAAAATATTACAATGGCACATTTTTATTCTGTTACTACTTCTACTATTTACATGAATATTATTATAAACGTTATTATAATTATTTAATAAAATAGGATAAAATGAAATAAAATAAAAATAAAGAGATAAAATATCAAATGTTGCTATCTTAAAATATGCCATCCAAAAGGAACTTCTCTTTCTCACTCCTGCTACTGCTACTTTTATATTTCTCTCTCATCATTTCTCTCTCCTCCATCATTCCCATCATTCATGCTTCTCCATCATTTCCATCATTGTATAACTCCATTATTTCTATTATTGTATAACTCCATCATTTCTACCATTGTATAACTCCATCATTATACAACTCCATCATTTCCATCATTGTATAACTCCATCATTTCCATCATTTGTGTTTCCACATCACATGTTTTCTGCACTGCCATCTTCGTACCATCCTATCAATCCTTCGTCATCACCACAAATATTTCCTCCTTCAAAGGGGAGCTCCTGCAATCTTACATCATTGTTTGAATAATTTTGAATTATTTATGAATTTGCCTTTCTACAAATTTGTACAGCCTTTTGTATTCTTGTTTCAGAAGTCTATATAGCCAATCAGACGTAACACTATAAAGATTCTTTGGCCATAACATTTTGGTTCCTTGTGCTAATCCTTTTGTCCTCAAGGCTATCGTATATATTCACAAACCATTCTGGTATGAATATGTTCGCAATTTCTGTTCTATTGATGTAGTGGTTCGTTCTATCTGAATAGTATGTATATAATTCCTGAGACATCTATAAGTATTTACTTATTGCCTGTTTGAGTTAGTGGGGTTTATTGTAATAAATAATAGTCCTGATATATCAGAATCAGACATATTCTTCATTGAGTTATATCTTTCTTCTGGAATAGTCATTATGTTCATAATGTAAGGAAATAATGTATTATCACTAACAGATTCTATCAAATTCGTTATGTTGTCTCTGAGTATCATATATGCACCCATATTATCGACAACAAGTTGCACATCTTTAGCAAGTACCATTAGTTCTTTACATATTTGTCTTATCTTTCTTTGAGAACTTTCAGGAACTTGCATTTTTTTTTTGAAGAAAAATTTCTTGAATTCAAAGTCTTTTAATATTTATCTATTGTTCCTTCCATCTCATGTGAGATGAAACTCCTTTGTTTATATAGCTTCAGCCGATTACCAAGCACAAGGTGATTATTAAACACTTCTTCTTTCATACTCTTTAATATATATGACTTATTGTCTAAATATTAGTAGATATAGTACGGTTCCATTCATCTATTTCAAAATTGTTTCCATGAAATTATTACAAATCAGATTGATATTCTAGTATCAAATCACTGATTTTGTAAGTAATTACTCTTATCTTCCTATTGTAAACCTTCTTCTATCTCTCTTGAATGACTTTTATCTTTTTAGTAACTTTTATCTTATCATTGATGAATACCCCTATAATTTTGCTAATCCTTCTAGTGATCAGCTCTTCATATTGATTTTTATTAATTGATTCTGATAACTACGTTAGAATATCAAATTCCATTGGCAGAGTAAGGATCCAGCCATACAAAAGATAAAATAGTTTGTATTTTATAGTATTATTTCTCATAGTACAGTATGTAAAGAGCTGGAGATATTAACACGTTTCAGTTATAAATCATATCTTGCATATATTTTACCAAAGTTTGATATAGCATTTGGTTAAAACACTCCGTTGAATCATTAGTCTACAGGTGATATGCAGAAGTAAGTCTGTAGTGCGATCTCATTATTTTCACTAAATTTGTTATCACCTGACTTAAAAATACTATTCCCCTATCAGAAAGTATCTCTTTAAGGTATTCATGTTAACATATAACTTTGTCATATATAAACTATATGACAGTTCATCAGGAAATTTTAATAGGTAAAAAATTATACAAATTTTCACTTCACAAATTTTCATAAATCTTCAACACCTTCAGAGATTTGTACAAAAAAATGTTGCAAATTTTGCAATATTTCACAATATTTCATAAAAATTTCCACAATACAAAAGCAAACTTGATAAGTTGGTCTCTTGATAAGTCGATCTTAATCTAATTTAGCCAAATTTTTATATATACTGTACATTATATGAATATCTTTACATATAAATTTTTGGGTCAAACAATAAACTTTCATTTAAATAATATCTATTTATCGAATTAACTTTATTGTGACATTGTTTCACAACATAACACTCCATATTTTTTTTTATTTATTTGCTCGAATATAGATTTGTAAAAATAAATAAAAATACAATACATAATTTAATTTATTTTGAATAAAAAAAAATATAACATGGCGATACGGATGTAAACATTTTGACCCAAAAATTTATCTTAATATATATATACAAACGTAAAAATATTCATATTGTATCTACAAAGGTTCTGTTTTTCTAAAGAAAATTAAAGCATATTGTAATAAACGACCATATTTATGCTCGACTCTGCATATTGGGTTTCGGAAATATAAATCACACGATTATATCATTAAAATGATAATGATTGGATAATTGCCTTGTGATAAAGATTATTTTTAATATAGTTAGTGAGAGTTTGTTCTTGTTCTATATTAAGAAGTGGACGGTCAATGTTTTTGATTAAAATAAATGGGAATTTTACAATGTAGACAATATTTCGGTAGTTAATAGAGAGGATTTTATTTGTTCAAGAAGAGAAAGAAGGAAGGTTATTTATGCATCAATAAATTATTATAAAAAAATTTTTTTATTGAGTTTTTCGAATTAATTTATAACTTGTTATATGGGATTTCTACTTTAATGCGCAGCAGCAAAGCTACAAAATTCGAAATTTAAAATCAAATCCAGAAAAATTTTGCCCATGTAATATTTTGTTAAATCGTGGTTTATAAAAACTTCTTTTTGTCAAAAAGAAAAAAAGAAAAGAAACCTATTTTAAGACATGGTTATATAACTGCTTCTTTCTGTAATAATGTTATCATGAACTAATCAAAAAAAATTTGGAATGCATAAAGGTCGAGGCATTAAGTATTTTTTGTAAGATTATAAAAATTTATGTTAAATATTGAGCCTTACATAATTTCCGATCATAACACCACGAATAGATAACCAATCATATTAAAGAATTTAAGTTAATGTTGAACACACTATATACGAAAAAAAAAATATATAACATTAACTATAGGAAAATATTTGGGAGGACCGTTATATTAGCAAGTTCGAGTTTAAATTTTCTTTAAAAAAATCATCGTATTCTGACATAAATAATGATATTGTTATTAAAGACAATTTAATATTAGGATGTATTAATGAGAAAAACCTCTTGTACCATATAATATATTTATTCAATTTGTCAAACCAACAATGATAATTGGCATTAATTCATTTATTCAGATGTACAAATAATAAATATTATAAATAATAAACGATAATATCGATCGATCATTTTTATAAACCAAACTTATAAAAAACCTAACTCGTAAAATCCAACTCGTAACAATAATAGTTGTTGTTGTTTAATGATTCTTTTTAGAATCGGAACATGGATTTAAGATAATCCTTGATAGTGTTGATAGTGTTGAGGAGGATATTGCGAGCGGCAATGTTGTTATTTCCGTGGGTAGTGTTGGAAGTGTTGGTGGTGCTGGTGGTGTTGTTGTTGGTGGTATTTTGAGTGGTGGCGTTGGTGGTATTTTCTGGAGTGGCGATGTTATGTTGAGCGGTGGTGGTGGCGGTTGCGATAGTTCTGGCGTAATGATCACGAGAAAACATTTCTCGTGATACAACTTCTTGGTCATCTAGTTTTGCTCTTTTCGATGCTGATACGAACATTCCACATCCAAACTGATCCCCAAAGGCTATTTTATAAGTCCTTTTGCGCAACATCGATATTTGTTGATGGACTGTATACTGGAACTCCGGCGATGAGATTTTAAAACAGATATATTGATCGCCAGCATTTATAATTCCCTCCAACGTTTGAATCCACTCATTATATTGGATTTCAGATACGTAAAGATCATAATTTATCGATTTCAAGAACTCAAATTCGAACTGAGTGAGATCTAAGGCAGTGGTATTAAGGGCCTCAACCCACGCAGAATTAATAAAGCATTTATCATCCAAATATTTATTTGCGACCACCAGAGCACAAACGAAAGCTCGATATTCAGTACCACCAGAATTATCTTGTTGGACTACGGCCGGAGATCTCAACTTTAAACGACCAACGTAAAGTATCGTCAAGAGTACCAAAGAGTAAGGTGCTTGTATACCATATATCAATTTATAAACAAATTTATAAAACTCGCGAACAGGATTACTTTCTGTAAACCTTCCACAAATTCCATCATTTGTGTATGTGTTGAACCAAATGAAATAAATCATTTTGCTCGCGAACAAGGAAAGTTGTTTGAGCGACATATTTTGGAAAGTTGACATTCTGTTTTTTGTTAAGTATTTAAGTGAGTGTGTTTAAAGAATTTTTAGTGATGAAAAATCGTTTATTTTTATAAACACTTGATATGCAGAATGTAGATCAGTAAATATTCCTTTTATGTCATGTCCCATATGGAATACTTACGTCAGATCATATGATTTGTTAACAATAATGTGATTTGCGTATAGAAAAAAATATTCTGTATATCGGCGGATTAGAAAAGGCACTTTTAAACCAATCACGTTCCACAAAAAAATAAAAATTAATTTGACCTTTGAGTATAGAAATATGTAAGGCATTATATCAGCGGATTGGAAAAAGTCATCGTTTTTATCACGATCCTCAATCGTGATTTATCCATCCATTTTTTTTTTAAAAAAAATAAAGGATTGTAAAAAATCGTCAACAACTCAAAATTTTATTATGTCAACCATCTCTTAATCTCTAAGTAAAAAGATTCAACACAAAATTTCACATCTATATATTATTATTTTTATAGAACTTTATTTTGTAAATAAAAAACTTGATTCCCGTTTATTTCGACTAACATAACTTGTAGGTATGGTTTATCACATTTTTCTTGTTATCGTTCATAATAAATTTATATGGCGTCAAAACATACTCAAAATGTGTTAATGGTTTTAAAATTACAAAAAGGTATGGGTCATTTCGTTGATTATATCTTTTATTATGATGATTTGATTTAAAAAATCGCATAATTACGAAAAATAATGGTCAATGACACAATCTATACGAATAAAGATATTTCAAAAAAAAAGTTCGACGTTATATGTATAAAGATATTTCAAGAAAGTTCGAATTTATACTCAAAATTGATATCATATGAAGACTTAAGACTTGGAAAACTTTTATATTTACCTTTAGAATTGTCATCACCCTTCGTTGTCACCTGATAATATACGGAATAATGTAATAGAATTTGGCCATGAAAATTCAGGGTTAGGGAATATTAGGGTTTATTCATGTTACACCTGTCGAATATTGTAAATCTTGGAATTTTTATGTCACTTAATAATTTCTACCTTTTTTCTTTTTTTCTTTCAGATTTGTAAATTCTCTTATTCCAAGGATGAAGAACAACATCCTAAATATAAGAAGGACAGTTAAATGACGACCATATTGGCAAACTGATATTTATGATACAGTGAACAATTTTATTTTCAACATGACGAATAAACGCGTGATAATAATGAAGTAAAATTTAAAGAAAAAAATTTTTCGGTAATTTTCTTTACTTCGAGTGATAAGAGTAAAAAAAAATTGTGAGTAATTCTTATGTAAAAAGGTAAATAGGCAATATCGACCAAAGGTGAGATGTTAAAAATATTTGTTCCTGGACGATGGATGAAAATTTTTGGATGGGTAATTACAAACGACACTCTTTTATATAATAATTAATTCAATCTTTATTAAATCATTTATTTATTTATTAAATATAATAAATATTTATTAATCTTTTATTTCATGTAACCATGAAATTTTATCTTTGAAATTTGATTATGAATTTTATAAGAATTAAAGGATTATAAAGATTTAGTTGATGAACGATAATCTTTGGAAATTTCAAAAATTATATGATATAAATATTGTTTCTACAATGAACTCAAATATTTTTTTGGATTTTTAAAGCAAGTATAATAATTACTACACATGAATTTTCATATGAATGAATATCCATATATTATTGTAATATATGGAGTGCTTTTTGACAAGAGTCACGAGCAAGCTCCCAAGAACTAAATAAAGTAATAAGAAGAAGAACCAGTATTCCCACACGAGACTCAAGAGTTAACGAAAATATATCATAAAAAAAAATCCAGACCAATTGGTTAGTAAACTCATATTAAGAGTTAAATATGATAAAAATTTATAATATGGATTTTTACATATACACATGGAATGAAAATTATTGCTAAAATTAAAATGCAAATTGTGGCACAATGAGTGATCTAAATGGTACAAACTTTTTTTTTACTAGATTCCCCTAACTAGGCTATCATATGATATATTTTGTGATAACCTATACATAGAGATATTACGCTTAAAATGAAACTTACAAAAAATAATAAATTTATTCTTAGATCGTTACCTATACCGCATTCGGTGGTATTAAAGATAGATGCCAACTGTATTGTACGAAATTGTAGCTAAAAATAATATCTACAATTTTAATTATTGACGTTTTTCTCAGTACCTAATAAAAATTTTGACTTCACTTAGACATGAATAAATTTATTTATTTATTTTAGCAGAACTTAGACGTGACCGAAATTTAATAAAATTTTTAAAAAATAAAAAAAAAATTCGGAAATAATTATATCGATCGTTTATACCCGAAAAATTTGATTATTTATTAACTTAACGATAAATGCGGTATTAAGTCACCTTAAAGCCTGAGCATCTTTTGTAAAAATTTCAGCCTTATATATTTAGAATTGAGAGAAAAATACATGATCAAACTTTAGAGTATAATTTTGAAATGTCCGATATTTAACCGTTATTATTAAACTCAATTCTCAATTTAAAAATCTGAAATTTTCACAGCAGATACTCCATATTTTGAACTTTAACTGTAATTAGTATCATTTTTATTGTTATATTAATAGATAAAGAAGTTTTAGTATATGGTTCCGATTGGTAATTATTTTTCGGATTTTTTTTTTTAATTTTTTAAAAATGATCGACACGGATTTACTACATTAAAAATTCGAAAATAATTACAAAACTTTTGTTTTTAATAATAAAATAGTAAAAGTTAAACTAAATAACATTAAAGATAAAAATTGAATACATCCGCTGTAAAAGTTTTAAATTTTTAACAAAAATTGAAAATATAACGATCGTTTAAATTTTTCGAATTTTTAAATCCGTGTCGATCATTTTCAAAAAAAAATCCGAAAAATAATTACCAATCGGAACCATATATAAAAACTTCTTTATCTATTGATATAACAATAAAAATGGTACTAATTACAGTTAAAGTTTAAAATATGGAGTATCTACTGTGAAAATTTCAGAGAATTGAGTTTAATATTAACAGTTGAATATCGGACATTTCAAAATTATACTCTAAAGTTTAATCGTGTATTATTCTCTCAATTCTCAATATATAAGGCTGAAATTTTTACAAAAGATGCTCAATATTTTAGGCTTTAAGGCAACTTAATACCACATTTATCGTTAAGTTAATAAATAATCAGGTTTTTCAGGTATAAACGATCGATATAATTATTTTCGAATTTTTTTTTATTTTTTTAAAATTTTATTAAATTTCGGTCGTTTTTATTCACGCTAAGTGAAGTCAAAATTTTTATTAGGTATCAAGAAAAACGTCATAATTAAAATTGTAGATATTATTTTTAGCTACAATTTTGTATAAGATAGTTGGTATCTATATTTAATACCCATCGAATGCGGTATAGGTAACGATCTAAGAATAAAATTATTATTTTTTGTCGGTTTCATTTAAGCGTAATATCTCTATGTATAGGTGTTCGATTTTATCACAAAATATATCATATGATAGCCCTAGTTTAGGGGAATCTAATAAAAAAAAGTTTGAGCACTCATTGTGCATTTTAATTTTAGCAATTATTTTCGAATTTTATCGTTCCACAAATACTTTTGCTAGGGAGTGTATATGAACAAATTTGACATTGAATAGATAACTTTAATTTTATAATAACAAAAAAGAAATACAAAAATTAGAGATCTAATTTGAATGTAGATTTATATTCATGACCAGTTATTTGATTTATAGCAATTGCAGTAATTTCCATTCTACCAAATAATAATCTAAAATCTATAGGTCTTTCCTTTTTCAAATGAACATCTGGCATATCAACTACAATTTCACCTAATAATGACATTCCGTCTTCATTACAATATGTTCCATTTTGTGCTTTAGTAACATATACAGTAAATCGTAATTTTGTTGTATGATCTAAAGGTCGGAAAACCTGACCAAAAGATTCATCTACTCCAACTTCTCTTCCACGTTCAACTAATTTATGGAATTTGTATATATATTTTTCATCAACCTTACGATCAGGAGGATCCGATGGTCCAAACAAATTTTGAGTTTCTATACCATAAGTATATTTGAGAACACGAGTTTTGATGATTTCCATCTTAATTCCATAGTCAAGTGCACCACGTACTATTGCTGCTTGAGGTTGTTTAGGAACAGCAATGCTTTTTACTTTATTTACAAATTCTTCACGAATTCTCATTTGAAGATATTTTGATTCACTAAATCCACCTACCAAAAACATAACACTACATCCATCACTATTATTAAGTTGTCCTGAAATTAATCTAATAATTCTTCCTATCATAGGATCAAAAAGGGATTTCACAGTTTCAAAATCAAGATCAATTATCCATTCATCATCTTCCAATTTTTCTTTATATGATCCAGAAACACATTGTTTAATCGCCGGACATACATCTTCAAGATCTAATTCATAGGGTCTAAAATCTTTTTGGATTCCAGAAAAATGAAATTTAACTCTTTTACAAAATTCCTGTATCATATATTGCATTTGACCATAATGTTGTTCTTCTAATATTTTTATTGCTTCATCACCCGCAACACGTTTCAAAAGTTTAATAAATTCTTTATCCACATAAGTACTTCCACAAAAATCACCAGTACGTTCAGTGACTTCACCTAATGAATCAGCTGACATAAATTTACGTGTAGTTAAATCGACAGTACCACCACCACAATCAACAATCAAGAAACTTTCTATAATAATTGATAAATTCATTATTTTTTTTTTTAATAACAAATCAAAAATAATTAAATAAATAAAAAATATAATATAATAATAAATATAAATATATAAATATAAATATAAATATAAATATAAATATAAATATAAATATAAATATAAATATAAATATAAATATAAATATAAATATTTCAATGCTTACTGCCTTCAGGTGTACCAAAATGTTCTTTTAATACTTGCATACAATGTATCGCAGCTGCTTCAGCTAGAAATATAAATTTTATTAAAATTTATACAATTATTATAATTATTATTATTATTAAAATTTATAAAAATTGATATTCATTATTATTATTAAAATTTAAGAATTAAACTTACGTTCAGTAGAAAATTGTAATTTTTCTGAATCCAAATAACCAATTAATTCAGCATTAAATGCACATTCTCTTAATATTCCTTTTGACTTTTCAGAATATTCTGCGGGTACGGTGAGTACTAACAATACATTTTCCAAAAAATTAACACCAGGCCAACGTATTTCAATAGTTGATTTAATTAACTTTTTTTTAAGAAAGAGAAAAAACATTTAATAATTTTAAGATTTAACAATAGAATATTCAAATAAATACATTTTACATACCTTTCCTAATTTATTTTAATTTTATTTTATTATTATTATCATTATTATTAAAATAAGATAAAGAATATATAAAAATTATATCAGTAATTATTTGTAATTATTATAATTATTGTAATTAAAAGTTATATTATTTTTATTTACCCATTTCTCTTAAATAATCCGTAATCGCTTTTTTATAATCCAATTTTTTAGGTAATAAAGGTTTTTCTGAATCAGGCATTGTTCCCAAATGAAGTTTAAATAATTCAACAGGTTTATAAGCAATATTCTTTTTACGACCTTTTCGTTGAGGTTTTTGAGCCAATGCTGGATAACCCCATTCTAATACTTCTTGATATTTTTCGTCATATTGTAAAACGGTATTTGTCTTTAAAGCACCTATTTGCTCTGGCTATTTCAATAATAATAATAATAATTAATAATAATAATAATAATAATAATTAATAATAATAATAATAATGATGATGATGATGATGATGATGATAATAATAATAAATTAATGTGTCAAAGAAAAATTTAAGAAAATTGTCATAAAATAACTTTTCATTTAAAACTCACCCAAGAATCGTTGGTTATTATTTCAGGATTTTGTTTATGCTATTAATAAAAAAAAACTATTTATATTAATAAAAACACAAAAAAAAAAAAAAATCAGAATTTTAAAAAATTGAAAGGTAAACACACCGCATATGCGAAACCCTGATATGTTCATGGAAAAAGGGAAGTAAAGATAAATTTAAATAATTTAAATAATTTGAGATAATTTTATTAGATTTTTACAAAAAAATTTTAAAAAATTTTTATTCATTTTTTTTTTTTTTTTTTTTGATAAATCATCCTATAACTTACTGAATAAGTTGTTCCAAAATCTATGAAAATATATTATTCGAAACGTAAATAAAAGGAAATTCCAATCAGATTATAATTAAAATCATATATTAAATTCTTTTCTTCTCAAACCTACCAATTGCTACAACGACTCGAATATCGCTTTTCCAAGACATTTTCTATGATAAACCGAAAAAACGACGATAATTTTACTTAATAAATTATGAAAAGAGAGATGAAAAAAAAGCAAGTAAATTTATATGTCACGAAGAATTATGTGAAACATATCTTATATATATCTTATATATTTCAGGGGTTAACCCTGTGGATTACATATTCGTTATTTATTAATTAATATTAAACTGAAATGTTAAAAGATCTGAAAATACACATTGATATAAATGAAGATCTGATTTTATTCTCTTAAAGTGAACCCTTTCAAGCTTTTTTCTTAAAGCATTTTACATATGGTGTCAAATAACTGCTAACTAACTTTTAAAAAAGAAAGATAAAGAACCTTTTATTGTTAAATCAATAAATTATATTTCAATTATTTACAATATATTTTTTATCCTAAGGAAATGATGATGGTTATATAAACGATTTATTATAGTATTAAAGGAAATTCTTGCGATTACTTCAGATATCAAAAAGAACGAAACTCTACTAACCTTTCCTATGTTAAAAAAAAGAACGGAAAGAGAAATAATGATTAGATGAAACTAGTAGAGAATATAAAAAGGTAAAAAGGAAATAATTTATTTGTTCCACAACAATTAATAAAAAAATTATCAATGATATCGTATCATCTATATAAATGGAGTAATGTTACCTGAAAATTAATTAGGTGACTTTTCTGAATCAAGGTTTACCATATGATAATCTATATTTGGATTTTCAAAACTTCAGAATATCATTTTACCGGAAGGAAAACCGATAATTAAAACAATTAAAACGAGAAAAGTGATAATTCAAAATTATAAATAAACAAATTTAGACTCTGTGTAATTTATTAATGCATGTTCAAAAAAAAAAAAAACGCATTTTCATTGTTATTCATTTTTATCTCTCTTTTAATCCTTCTAACGAAATAAAACAATTGAAACTGTTTATTTGTTATAATTAAAAATTGATTGATGTGAATATGGAGACTTCTGGTAATAAAATTGACCTTGAAGATATGCAAACTGGTTTTCACGATAACGATAAAACTACAAACATTAGGGAAAGTGAAGTAGATGGATTTTGTAATATTGCTAATGTTGATACTAATGTTGATGCTAATGCTGATGATAAACATGATGATAATGAAGTGTATAATGGGTTGGATGAATTTTTAAATTCGCCAATAGAACGAAAAGAATCTTCCGATAATACATCTCCTGATAATCCTGAGAATAATGACATGGAAATAGTTGATCATAAAGAACAAATTGAAACAAATGAAGGAAATGAAGGAAATGAAGGAAATGAAGAAAATGAAGAAAATGAAGCAAATAAAGAAAATAAAGAAAATAAAGTTCCTGATGATGGATCAATTCCTATGGAATATGAATACGTTAGAATTATTGAAAATTATGAGAGCGAAAACGAAAAATTGAAAAAGGAAATTGCAAGTTTAGAAAAAGCTAGAGAATTATCGGAGAAAGATAATAAAGAATATCGAAAGGAATGTGAACAAAAAATCGAAGAACAAAAAGACCAAATTATTCAGTATAATAGTCATATCAATTTCTTACAAAGCGAAAAAGATAACCTTCAGAATCGATATAATAATCTTATGGCTTCATATGAATATAAAAATAAAGAATTAGATAATATTAAAAAGAGGAATGATTTTTTACAGAAAGAAGCAGCAGAGTATCAATCTAGATTAGGTGATGCAAAAAATTTTCGTTTGGGAGATGATGATCGTAATAATAGCACCCATCTTACTCGTGATATTGAAGAATTACAAAGTGAAATTAATATTTATGCCAGAGTCAAAAAAGGGGTATCTTTGAATATGGAAATGGTAGATAATGGTTTACATGAATTTGATTGTTCATTCGAATCTTTCAAAACCTCTGACGAAGAAGAAGATAATAAAAAGATGTTGGTCAAAGCATTTCTCCAACGAGTTGTTCTTATAACTATAATGGACCAAATGGATAAATATCTTGGACAAATGGATTCAATTCAGAAGATTCAAATGGATGAAAAGTATGAATATCTTCATGAATTAGAAGTTATCTCAAGATCAAAAAATTTAATGACTACAGTAGAGAATTTTGCTAATAATCGTGATGGAAAAGATGAAGTATCCCTTGTCGCCCCAACAAAAATACGTCAGCAAATTTATGCATTACTCGGAGATAGAGGGTTTTCCGATATTACAATAAAAGGGGAAAAAATTTCTCATCCCGTTATTCAAAATATTGCTAGTGAGTTGTCTAAAGTAATGAATAAATATCGTTCATTCAGTTCTGAAGCAAAAGAGAAGGAAAATGATGAAATGGCTCCAAATATCATTCGAGAAGTGATAAAAATTTTCTATTTTAGGTTTAAAGTACAAGAACCAGAAGCAGAATATATATGGATTAAAAAAGGAACAAAAATTGACTCAACCATTATGAGTGGAACGTGGGATGATCAAGTAGAACTTTGGTCTGTGGGTCTTTGTTTTATTCCTCTGATTGGGATTAATCTAAACAATGAAAAACATAGAAAAGTTTTATTTCCTGCAAGAGTTTTAGCGATTAAAAATAAAAAAGGAAGTAAAATGGGGGGAATAGTAAAATCTATTTTCTCACACAATAAAAGGGAGAATTCAGTTGATCATAAAAACTCAGGACAGATTCAAAAAGAAATAAACAGGAATAAAAACAGAATTAATAATTCCGAAATAATTGGTTCAATGTTTAATAATCCACCTCTTAGTCAAATTTATTCAGAGAATCCAAGTAAATATACACAAGCTTCCGATCAAATAAAAAATTCGAGTCAAACAAGGCAAACTGAAAAGGCCAGAAATAACAATTCATCAAGAAATGAAAAAATCGTCCTGAATATGGATCTTTCGTCTCTTGCGTCGTATTATGATCACTCTTCCCCTCAGAATTATAGTTACACTCAAGATTCTCAAAACAATAAACATGATCTTAATAATCAAACTCTTCGGAATGACTCTTTTAAAGACAGAAATACCAGTAGTCATTCTTCTCAAGACAAAAATTTAGCTTCCCAAGATAATTCGCAAAATCAAAATCAAAATCTAAATACCCCCTATCAAGACCATTCTGAAATAGATAATTCTAAAAAAGATAATAATACTCCCCCAGAACTTCCCCCAAAGTCCCCGAAATCCCCGAAGTGAGTCCCCTGACAATTAGTCATCAATCAATCAATCAAAAAAATCTCTTATTCAAAATGATAACTCTTTAAAGAAATTGTATTATGTTATCAAAAGACTTTGATTTATTTCTTTTGAATTTTTTAAAAAATTCTCTTAAATATTTATTTACATTATTGTTAAGTTATTTTTTTATATTATATCTATAGGATAATTAATAAATTATAATGGATTTGGTTTTTTATTCAAGTGACATGAATAAATTTTTGTTTGATAAATGAGTCTTGATATAGCAATCTGTATATTTTTTTTGACCAGTATTTATGTTGAAATTTACCTCAATCATTTATATTATTCCTTTAAAACCTATTTATCTTATTTATCTGAAAGAATAAAATGATTTCATCTGAATAAAAATAAATAATTAATGGATATAAATAATTGAGTCCATAATTTCACTGAAATGTAAAATATTAGCAAGAGATTTAATAATATCTTTTGTATTAGAAAATGTTAGAACTTGATAATAATTTACATGATAAAATATTTTTAGTTTCAAATCATCGAATTCATAAATCTCAATAGAATTTTATAGAGTTTCTAAAAAATTATATAAAATACTAAAATACAAATAATTTGTAAATAAAAATAACTAAAAGTTCATTTTAATAAATATCCCTTCATTAAAATAAAAAATTATATCCTTCCATTAAGAATTATTATTAAAATTATAAGATTAATGGAAAACATAACTGACTTAAAATTTAAATTTAAATTTAAATCAAGAAAATAAGAATTGAAATGATATCTAACAAAAAGATCTAAATAAATGAAAGTTAGAAGAAATACTTATACAAAGTCAAATTTAGATCAAGAAGAAATTAAATTAAACAGCAAATCAAGGAAATCAAGCAAAAGTGTGATCCGTGAAAATTCAAATTTTATTGAATTAAAACTCATTCTCACATTTACTCGTCCAGCTTATTTACTTTTCATTTTTAATAAATACAACAATAATAATTATTTAATTTTTGCTATAAATATTTTGATTTATTTTTCTTATCCCCTAATCGAAAAAAAAAATATCTATCATATTTTTAGGCTCAAGAATTTAATTTAGGGAGTTTCGATTATGAATTTGTACATGGTTTTTTTTTGCATATAAATATCTCCCTCATCCACTTCTAAACCAGAGAAAATGAAGCTTTTCCTCCATTTTCACCTTAATACCTTAACCACTTCGTCATCTATATCTGTTCAAACTCCGGCTTCCCTATTGACAATGGCCTTCTTTAATGTAAATAACCAAAATGTCAACTTGGGTTCATTTCTTTTAATACTATTTCACTAAAGATACAACTGAAATATTAGAATTAATTCATTTGATTAGCCATCTAGCATTACGCTCATCCAATAGAAGCACTTGATCTCTCTTAGAATTGATCAATCAAATTACTTATTAAGAATAACGTTGTCTCCACAAGGAAATCCTGATGACAATATTATCTTTTCCAATTAACTGATGAATTAACTGAATTGATTTTTTTTTATTCTTGTATAAATGATATTATCTGAATTGTTTTATTGATGTAACTGCCTTTAATTGATTTTTTGATCTTGTGAAGATGATTTACAAGAAATTTGTTCTTTTGACCAATGATGTAAATTTGATCAAAGACTGATATAATTTGACTATTCAATTTTTGTCATATTTTTACCAACCATTTGATTTTGATACTCAAATTTAAAATTTTAGAACAAACTGATAAAATTTAAAGGTTGAATTATTAATTAACATTAATAAATAAATTTAAATTTCAGATTCTATAAAATTCCTTTTTTTTGCACAATTCCATTTGTAATCAAAGAAATAATTAAGATGTTCTTGATATTAAAACTGTATTTGTCATAATTTAATTAATTAATATCAAAGATTATTAAAGGAAAGATGAAATCTTTTTTTGTTATTGTTACATATAATCAAAGTGTTTTAGCTTCCTTAATAAGAAAAATTTTTAAATGTAGATTCATGTTTAAAACTGGATTATACCTTGATTTTAAATTAATGATTTCGAATAGCATTGTTAAGCCTTCCTTAATTTGGTTAAAAATTTTTAAAATTTTAATATATACAAAACAATAGTGTGTTGCATTAATGATTTCCCAAGATAAATAAATTTTTCTTTATAAAAATTAAATTTTTAGGACTTATATAATGAATATTATAAAAATAAATTTTATCAATAAATACTAACGAAGACATTATATACGCTATTCACGTGTTTGGAAATATTTATGGAATTGGCGAAAAAGCCCACCACTTTCAACACTTTGAAAGAAGCGACAATTAAATCACGTGCAGTACGATAGTATAGAGTGAGTTGTAAAAATAGGTATGTCAATGCGTCAATGCGTAAAAATGAAATAATAAAAGTAAAAGTTGTTGATCAAAAATCTTTCATAAATTCCCTCAGATGGAATTTCATCCGAAATGTTAAAATATTATTCTTGTATCATCTTGTATCATCTTGTAATTATTTATTAAGTTCTTCAACATCAAGTCCGCTTGGTTATTCCAAAACAAGTCGGTGAAACACTAAAAACGTTAGATCATTGTGACTATTTCACCCAAATTAAATTTTAGTGCTGCATATGCGGATATGTGTGTATGCAAGTTATGAATATGGTTAAGCTAAATATGTTTATGTTGTTTGTTTATTCATAAGAATTTATTATTGTCATGCAAGAATTCTTGAATATTTGCTGCAAAACATGTCATAATCAAGATAAATTTATCATAAATTGGTGTATTCGGGATATATTTGGTATTTTGAATATATTTAGCATATTTGGGGGGTGAATTTATAATAATAAAGTTTTTCATTATTTGATAGAAAAATGAATGTCACACTGATTTACTTTTGTGCGATTAGGATGTTATTATTTTATTTTATTTTTTTTTATAGTTCCTTGATCATGTGATGTAAATGTCTCGATTAAAACATCGTAAATATTAACTTATGTCAAAAATTATTAGATAATTGTCAAGAAACAAATTATGTTAGTTTATATATTAGAAAAATGATTATCTTTGTGTTTTATGATAAATTTAAATGCTAAAGAGTGAATTATTATCAACAGTAATTTTTTTAGGATATATTCTCAATTCTGTTTGATTTTATCTATATTTTGTTTGGAAATCTGAATTTATTTATCCCATCTTGTAAATATAAAGTAAAACATATGGTAAAACTCTTGGATTTATGATTTCTTGGTTTTCTTTAACTCGGTAATTTTATTTGACCAAAATCGTAACATATTTTAATTTGATAACGTGATCAATTTCGATTAATTTGTTACTGGATGAATATCAAATCCCTTTTCATCCAAATTTTTGATTTTTTTTGATCTGTTAATATTATTAATATTAACTTTTGATCCTACTACAAAAAATTTGAAATTTCTCAAAATCTATGTCCTCGACCCTTGAATTTTCTGTTTTTCTTTGGTAGATTGACTCTCGCGCACTTTAATTTTCAAAAGAAATTACTATATCATTAATTCTTCCTTCAACTAATAGATATTTTCTGTTCATTTGTGATTTTTCAATCTAAATTCATAGATTTAGCGTATTTTTGATCTGCGAACATAATTTCTTTAGATGCTGCTGTGACCAAATTACTTTATCACGTTGTTGACACCGCATAATTGCATTTAGAATCCATAATGACTTGTAAGGATATTTTTTCACTAAAAAACCAAAAGCAATGTTTATCTTTCTTGGATAGCATTGAATTAAAGCGTATGGAAAATCAGTCCTTTTATGTTCAAAATTTTTTTTATTTTCTTTCTTGTTTTTTTTTTTTTTGAGCAATTTTCTAATACAAAAGTTGACATTTGAAATTGGCATCTGAAGCTTGACCTTTGGTAATTAATTTTTATTAATAATAATTGTTAATAATTGTTAATCTTGTCATTTTTTTCTCAAGGGTTGCGCTGATATGGAAAATATGGAAGATATTAATCAATTCTCAACAAATATTTTTGCTTCTTTTGTTTTAATGTATAAAAATGTTGAGATGTCATAATGTGAACCTGAGAAGGTTTTGTAAAGGTCATAATGTTATCTTTGTACATTGACTTTGTCACTAACAAACGACAAAAATGTAAAGGCTTGTAGTTAATCGAGATAGTCAACAAAATAAATAATAATGATTTTTTTTTCTTTCGAAATTTTTTTTAAAAACTTTAAGAATAAAAATTCTCGTGACCTTGTTATTTCTTTGTTTCCTTTTTTTAAAAAAAATCTTTCCTGGATCAACTATCATACTATCAAAAACTACTTTACCCGATTACAACTATCTGCAAACAAGTATTAAAATTTTGTTGTGTGACTCATATCTTATTCAAATTGAATGAACTGCTACAAATGAGCTTGCATATTTAATATGGAATCGATGAAAGTTGTTGGAACTTCGTTCAAATCTTTTAGTAGTTGACCATATCTGGATATCGGTGTTCAAATTTTTGCATGCCCCACCCAAACTTGGGCCCTAAACATGTGCCACGATTCCCATGAAACAATAACGTCACATAAGCCCATTTGCATAATAAATAAATAGTTAACTGTTATTAGTGTCCCCTTTTTGTCACTCTCATTCTCAAAATTTTTTTTTTTTTTTTTTACCAACCCTTTCTCACTTTCTCCAAAACAAATAAAAATGTCGAGTTCTACGAAAACAGAATCTATTATAAATACTTGGTGTGTTTATATTCTTTATAATCCTAGTAATTCAAAGGTGTATGTTGGAAATACTCATGACCTAAAGGTAACGAAATGAAAATCTCCCTAAAATATTAAAATATTTTTATTAATACAATAAGTTATGATTATCACCCAGAAATGTATTTTGTTACAACTTACAGAAATACATAAATTAAATAAACTAATAACAGGAACGTCTCCAGAAACATAACCGTATAACAGACAATAAAGGAAAAGAAACTTGGGCAGCTGTTGTTGCTATAACTGGTTTTCTCAGTAGTAAAGAAGCATCGAACTTTGAGTCAAATATTAAAATTCTAGCAAAGAAAAAAGAATTTAATGAATATGCCAATCTTTATCAAGGTCGTTGTCCATCAATTGTACTTAAACGGATCATAGCCATTAGAGGGTTATTATGTGAATATGATAATTGGTGGAAAGCTCCTCGTGGTAAAAAGCGTCGTTATGTCTTACATTGGGGAAGTTACATGGAACGAGATACAAGGCAATTATCTGTATTACAAAATTGTCCATGGGCGAGAGTTGGAAGATCTGTTAAACATAAAAAATTGGATTTAAGTGATCCTGATGACGATACTTCAAATAATTCAACTAGTATCGAAGATTTATCCTCAGGTTCGGGTTCGAATAGCTCCACACCTGAACGACAGAAACCACAAAATAATACCACAAATATATGAGTTACCTTAATACTTTAATTGATTATGAATAATTAATCGCGTTAATACTTGATAATACTTGATTAAATACTTGATAATACTTGATAGTTTTTCTAGATGTGAAAAATTAATATATCAAAAAAAAAAAATTTTTTTGGGGGGATTTTTAAAGGATGGTTATGGGAAAATATCTTTCATACAAATCGAACAATGAATTTTTACATTGACTTGCTCCCTTTATAGATATACTACACATTTTAGATGGCATTTTTTTTTATAAGATTTACTAATTAATTTTCCAGTCTCCTTTGTCTCATTAATTGTCCCTTTTTTTTTTAGGTTATAAATTTTGACTAATGTTAAATAAAGTTGTGCATAATGGTATGATTTACATAAAAAAAAAGATTGCTTGCATTATTATCGATTTGCCAGACATTTATTTAAAAGTTATTTCGCCGCCTTACATTTGAACTAAATAGCCAAATTTGAGAAAAATGCGTTTGTGATGAAACGTACGAAATCTACTGCGCCTCCTAAAATTTTATAAATACAAATTTAATTCTTGGCGATATCAAATTTATGTTCATTTGTGACACAAGAACTGTCCTCACGACCAAAAAAGTTCAAAAATAGTGTGGTAAAAAATTTATTTTGCACTTAATAATCTTTTCTAAGGCTTGACAACGATCTGAATTTATCCGCTATATCACATGAATATTAAATGTATCAGGTGGAATATAAAGCATATGAAAGTATTGAACATTCAAATTATATGACCAAAAATTATTGGTGATTTCTGCCTTTTTGATGTAAGAAATTATTAGGACAAAAATTTTTTTTTAAATATTCTTACCAGTCTAGGATGTATCATAATGAAAATAACCTTGCGTAAAAAAAAATTAGTCTTCCGTATTCATGATCATCAACCTTAAAAAATCTGCATTTCCAAATTTGAAATTATTGAATACATAATTTATTAATTTATTATAGAGTCATTGCATGCATGAATATTTACATTCTTTTATATTCTTTATATAGATATAGATTGTTTAGATATCTTTTCATCAAAGGTAAAAATATGTTAAAATTAAATCTATACAACATATTTCAATATAAATCAGAAAAGCAGTTGAGGCATGATATCTTTCTACCAAATCTCATCATTTGGACATTAGGAAAGTAATTAAAATAATTTTCTATGTTTATAGATACTCACAGATATACAAAGAAGTATTATAAATTAGAAGTATGATTATATCCAAGTTTCACTCTTTTCCAAGAATCTATTCCATAAGTTTGAATATAAAACAATACAAATTGTTCCTTTTAGATAACCACTACCTCTTGGAATCTTTTGTTCAAAAATTTCCGGTTGCGTTTTGAGACCTTGACCTTTTGCTATTGTTAATTATGTGAAAAATAAAAATTGTATATATATATATTATTGTAGAATTTTTAGTTTGATATTAGTCATCAATAAAAAGTTTATTCTAGAATTTTCGAAATTGGTGGAATTGTTAAGCCGTTAAAAAGATCGTATATATTGCCACGTGATCTATACAAATTGTTATGTGCAAAATTTATGCGAATGCTTTTTTTTTTTGCGTAAAGTCCTCAACTTTTGTGCAAGCGCACACTCCACACATTGAATTTTAAACACTGAATTCATACATTCCCTTTACTTTATTTTTTTTTTATTGTTATACCTATCTTTTTATTTTCTCGAAGTGACAACATTCACACACAAAGAAGATATCAGGAATAATAAACAACAATGGAAAAAATTAATAATATAATGGTTGCTTACTTTTATTGAATCCTTATCTCTAATTATTTTGCAATACTTTAAAAATTTTCAATGCCAAACATTGATTCGTTTAATTAAATTAGAAAATAGATAAAAACCGGCTTGTCATTATATTTATTATATTTCAATTTGAATTGCTAAATTAATAGATTTTGTTTATTAATAAAAAGAACATTGTTAGTATTCAAAAAAAAAAAGTTATTTCTTGATTAGAAAAAGCAATTTCTTAAGAATTTTTGAAAGATATTTTCAAGAGTTCTTTCTTCGAACTATTCATTCTAAAGCTTCTGTCATATTAAATAATAAATAATTGTGATTTGTTTAATTATTTTTTTTTTTTCAAAAACGATAGTTATTTGAAGAAAAATATAAGAAATTTATCTTACATTCCCTAATTAACATTGAAAGTGATTTGTTTTGTTTTTTTTTTTAAAAAAAAACCCCCCATTTTAAACGAAAACTTGGCTGATTATAAAAAACTATCAACATGTTGCTCCCAAAAATCTTGCACATTTTGAAATGTCGAGACTTCATATTCTACGATCTACAAAATTTTCAGGTTCACTTTCTTTATTGATATTAGTAATTAGAATGTCGAAAATATAAATCAAAATTTGTCTTCTTTAATTTCTGCGACATATTTACTCTGATCACGAAAATATTTGATTTACTGTGAATGCAGTCAACGTCTTTCGAATAAAATATGGTTCTAGGATCACAATCTCTTTTTTATTCTTTGTTCAATCTTTCTTTTTATTATCAAAATGTTATTGAGATTCTCTCGTGATTGAGACTTTGACACGTATAAAAATTATATTATCTGTTATAGTATATTATATTAGAATATCCATACTTCTTTCAAACATTTCCATTTAAAAAAACTGTTTTCATTCTCTGATTGCTCATCAACTTGGTTCTACTAAATTTGAAATAATTCGATTACCTTAAAGGGTTCATATTTATGCTTATATATACTACCACACAAGGAAATACAGGCTATATGAAATACAAATGTAACTTCCACTAAATGTGCATAAAGTATGCCGAGAATGCATGCATCCTTATGTAAAACAAACAAAGGATTTAGGTATGCCTTTTGTTCTTAATCACGTGTGTTGAAACAACAGACAATATACTTGGAAACAATGAATAATGGTAAACCAAGAATCCATTGAAAATTTTCGGGACGACAATGAGTTATTATGAAAAAGAATTCGTAATTTAAATTAAACATTTCATTTAATGTAAGAAATATCTAAGATTTTGATTAACCAAAATTAGAAAATGCTGGAGATAAATAAAAATCCTAAGAATTATACGTTACTTTAAATTAGAGACACTTTACCTGTTTTTGTTTGATCGAAATATTATCGAACATTTACCATATCAAGAAAACAAAGTTTTTTGAATCCTAAAGAATTATATAATACATATTTCTTTAATTATTTTATTCTTTTTATAAGCTGCTGCGAATAATTATTTTTTTTTCGGGATAAAATATCAATGCAATTAATGCAATTTTCGTTTTAGTTAATGTCAACTATGCGTCTTTATGCCTTCTAATGTGATTTCACAAGTTATATGATATAATAAATATAAGATAAATATACTAACAATACATGAAGCAACAATTCAGTATTATCAAGAAATATTTTTTTTTTGATATATTTAATTAAAAAATTATGTGAATCAGAAATCTAAATTTAAAATTTTCCTTAAAATTTTCCTAAAATCAGGATTATTTTATTTTAAAGATTTTCATATAACTTATATGCATAATTTAAAATTTTTGTATATAAATAATGCATTGAGGGGGTTGGGATTCCAAAAAAAAAAAAAAAAAAAAAAAAAAAAAAAAAAAAAAAAAAAAAAAAAAAAAATATTATTTTTATAACGAGAATATTCCTTAAATAACCTAAAAAACAATTTCAAAAAAAAAAAAAAAACTTAATCACAC